GTGTTGGTTTGTGCTCGATCCAGTTTAATAGTAAGCTTTGCTGATTTTGTGATACTGTAACACCAGTCTGGGATATGCTGGTAGAGTAAGTCACAGGTTTTCTTTAGGTTTGTAAAGAAAATAAAATGCTCAGCAAAGCAGTTATTGAAATTCTTGCAAATGACACTGGAGAAAAAGCAGTGCGCTGAATGTTCTAGTTAATACAGTCAGGGGAGAAACATAACTGACATTTTTCTGTAATGTTGCCTTGGGTGTACACAATCTGAAACGTCAGTATTTTAATTGATTCTGTACTCGGTCTATTCTTGTATCCCATAGGAAATCAAACCAGATGCCTCTGTGATCAGGAGAAGAATATCTGTCTCTCTCTTTTTTTGTATTACACTACATTGGCAGTCTTCCATCTGTTAAGATTTTGGTTGGCACCATGGTGGTTAGCAACAAAACTGGAATGTCCGCTTGAACACGAGCTTGGGCAAAAATAATGGAGAACCTGAGCTGCCTGAAAGTTGGGTCTCCCTCCCAGCCTCCCCAGTATTCCTTAGGGTGAAAATGAGAAGTAAGCTAGCAAAGGTGAGCAGAAAGCCTGCTGACTGAACTCATCACCACACTCTACAGTTCATTGATCTGTTGGATGCAGTAACCAAAGGAAGACCTCAAACTTATGACAATAGGTCCTGTTTATCGAGTGAACTTTGGTAGCATTTTTGTTTTTCATGTGCTTTTTTAAATGCCTTTGGACTCGTCACCAATGACGAAACAAAAGGAATGGAAAGCATCATGCTTGACAGTGGTTGCAGAAAGATATCATATTTAGACATTAGTCCGTCCACCTTTTGGGTTACACTTCAGATTTTGTCCAGAGTTAGATTTTTTTTTTAACCTTCTGCTGTCCCAAGGTATCCATCAGACACTGGATCAGTTTGACCGTAACTGTTGAGAATTTGGTTTGAGTGCCAGGGTGTGTCCTAGTGCTGGTCGGTTTAACCTCCTCCAGGTTTCTTTCAAGTTTCAGGCTGGGGCTGTGAGTGAGCCAGATTTTATATGGCCAGTAGGAAGCATTGTTGAGGACATGCCACTGCAGAGGCTGTGTACTGACAGGAAAACACTTCTTCCGTTTCAACATCGTTACCAACCAGTGATGTAGACTGAAAATGAGAAGCAAGCTAACGAAGACATGCAGAAAACTTACTGACTCTATTCACCCACACATTACACGTTATATCATACACCTGTGATGCACATATCAACAGACCCTAAACCAGAATAATCACTGAACCCAAAATGTTAATTCTGCTCTCTCTCCATTGATGCTGCCAGACTTGTTGAGTTAGAATCATAGAATCCCTACAGTGTGGAAACAGGCACTTCGGCCCAACAAGTTCACACCGACCCACAGAGCATCCCACCCAGACCCAACCCACCTAATCTACACGTCGCTGAACACTATGGGCAATTTAGCATGGCTAATCCACCTAGCCTGCACATCTTTGGACTGTGGGAGGAAACTGGAGGAAACCCACGCAGTCACGGGGAGAATATGCAAACTCCACACAGACAATCACCCAAGGATAAAATGGAACCTGGGTCCCTGGCACTGTGAGGCAGCAGTGCTAACCACTGAGCCACTGTGCTGCTTGTTTTTTGTGATTTGTGGGATGTGGGCATTGCTGGTGGGGGAATATTTGTTGCCTGTCCCTAGCTGCCCTTGAACTGAATGGCTTGTTAGAGTCAACAACATTGTTATGCATCTGGAGTTACATGTTGGCTAGACCAGGTGAGGATGGCAGGTTTCCTTCCATGAAGGTTATTAGTGAGCCAGATGGGTTTTTTGACACTTGGCAATGGTTTCACAGTCATCAGTCGATTCTTAATTCCAGACTTTGTTACTTTGTTACACCACCTGCTATGGTGATATTCAGACCTAGGTCCCTAGAACATAAGCTGAATTTCTGGATTAAGAGTCTACCAATAATACTTGTAGGCCATTGCTTCCCCAATTTCTCCAGTAATTTGTTTTTATTTGTCAACAGACCCTGAACCAGTTAAAATGGGTATACCATTGAGTTGTTGATCTTGCTAATTCTGGTAATGTTTTTGTACTCCAATTTGCTTTAGTTTTACCGCTGAACTCCAGGGTTTCAATTTTCTTTTCATCAGGCCTCTGGTTTCCTTTGAGATTCAGAGAGTTGTTTTTAATGCCTTTTGTTTTCTCTTGGATGTTTTTGATTCCCTGAGTTTTATTTCTAAGAAACCAAAGAGTACATGGACCATAAGAAGGAGGAAAAAACTGTTTCCTCAACACCTCCTTTTGGAATCTACATAAAAATAAACAAACTGAGTTTTTTCCAAAAACTTGTCACACACTTAGATCTTTGAAATACAGTTACACACTGTAACCTGCCAATCCTGTGTGCTATTATTTTGTTGGCTGGAAATGGATCTATAACAGTGACATAAACACACAAATGTTTTAGTGTTTTGCACTGTTAGAGGTTTACAGGGGCAGAATGATTTTTGGAGATCTCCTGGAAGTGGTAGGCATAATGCTTCGGTCTTCAGATGTGGCATGTCAGCCTGTTTAGTTTTCTAATGGAAGCAAAGCCGTGTAACTCTAAATATACAAAATGTGAGAGCCATTCTGGGTCAGTGGGATTGATGTAACGGCCAGAAATGTAGTTTACGATTAAACTCCTTATGCTGTTCCAATATAGGAGCATCCCATAAAAGACAAATACAAATTCAGTAAAAAAGTTTGTCTCGCATGCAATTCTGGCAGCAGGAAGAGAATGCCAGCTTTTAGCTGTACCAGAGAGGAGAGTAAAAGCTACCATATCCCAACCTCAAGACCCCAGCAACTGCTAACAAAGGTTAAAACTTTTTAAAAAAAGGGTCCTGGTTCTGTGGGAGCTTGCCTGACCCATTCAGGCTGCTTCTATGGTTCCAACATTTTTAAAATAAAGGCCTCACAAGCTGTTACATTATTGCCTTTGGAACAGACTGCTTGGTACCTCAACCTTTCTTCACAAAAAAAAAACAAAATACACCTCTTAAAGCCATAGTATTGTCACACCTTCCCCTGCCCAAAAAGAAGAACCATTATTTTTTTCTCTATTCATTTTATGGGATGTGGGCATCGCTAGCTGGCCAGCATTTCTTGCCCATCCCTAAATATACAAAGATCACTTCATTTTTAAAAACTGTTAGCCTTGTGCTATTAGTACAGTACAATACATATACATTACATTGACTCTAAGCATGCAAACATTCACCACTACAGTCCATTTCAGTCTGTTGTTTTCCTGCCACCAAACACATCTTTGTTCATCAAAGTCACGACAATGTGTCGGCAATTACGTTCTCTCATCCTGCTATGTGTATAATTTTCAAATTGAATGACTGCAATAATAAGCTCCATCTTAAGTCTGGAATTTTATCCTTAAATTTTTCCAAAAACTTCAAGGGATTTAGGTCAGTATAGACACATTACTGGCAATATAAATGTTGAAATGTTGCACTGTCGACACCAAGCTCAAGGTTTCCTTCTCAATCGTGGAATTTTCCTGTTGATGCTAATTACATTTTCTGGAAGAGTACCCAATAGATCTTTCTATCTTATCATTGTCTTCTTGCAAGAATACAGCACCGACACCCAGATTACTCCCATCGATAGCCACTATGAATAGCTTTGCATAATTAGACCTGGCTAATACTGGGGCAACAGTTAACACAGCTTTCAGGCTGTCAAATGCCTTCTAAGATTCCTCCGTCCACTGAAATTTTCTGCACTTCTTCAACAAGTCAGTCAGTTGAGCAAACAAACTGCTAAAATTTGGTACGAACTTCTCAGTAAAGACGGCTCAATCTCAGGAATCATATTATTTCTCTCTTTGATTTGTATGGGAAACTCCCCAATCAACATTGTTTTCACATCCCATGGGGCTGTCTGTCAATGTCCAATAACATGGCCCAGAGATGTGACTTTGGTATTTGCAAACTCACTCTTAGCCAGGTTTAACACCAGTCCTGCCTCCCCAAGTCAGTCAAACAATTCTGACAGTTGGCAAATGGGACTAGATTAATTTGGGATATCTGGTTGGCATGGACTGAAGGGTCTGTTTCCATGCTGTACAGCTCTATGATTGTATGCTAATGAGCAAGTTAGACAAAGGAGAGTCAGTGGATGTATGCATTTGGATTTCCAGAAGGCCTTTGACAAAGTGCCGCACAGGAAGCTGCTGAACAAGAGCCCATGGTATTAGAGGCAAGGTGCTAGCATGGATAGAAGATTGTGTAGAAGACCGAGTGGGGATGAATGGGTCTTTTTCAGGATGGTAGCCAGTCACTAGTGGAGTTCTGCAGGAGTCTGTGTTGGGACCACGACTATTCACATCATATATTAATGATCTGGATGAGGAACTGAGAGCATTGTTGCTATGTTGCAGATGACCACCTCGAATTCTAACAGATTTGTCAGGCATGACCTCCCCTTGACAAAGCCATGCTGACTGTGCCCAATTTTACCATGCACTTCCAAATACTCACAATCTTAATCCTAGTAATGGACCCTAAAATCTTAGCAATGACCAAGGTCAAGCTAACTGGCCTATGGTTTCCTGTCTTTTGCCTTCCTCCCTTCTTAAATAGGTGTTACAGTTCGCCATTTTTCTTCCAGTCCTATGTGACCCTTCCTGACTCCATTGATTCTTGAAAGACAAATGCCTCTACAATCTCCTGAGCTATATCCTTTATAAAATTGGAGTATTAGTCCATCTGATCCGGCTACCTAGCTTACCCTTGTATTTCATCTCTCTCCTCCCCTTCCACATTTTTTTTAGTTATCCTCTTTTTTTTAGAAAGGCTTCTTTGCATTGTATGCTTTATCTTTTTTGCTTTTGTGGCATCCCTGACTTCCCTCATCAGCAGTGGTTGCCTTGTTCTTCTCTTAGTGTGGTTCTTCTTTCTTGGGATGAAACTAATTACATTTTTTCTCCCACTAGTATCTCCTGAGGGTACAGGAAAGTGTTTGAGGAGTACACGCGGGTTATTAGCCAGCGGTATCCCGACATCCGTATCGAAGGAGAAAATTACCTTCCACAACCTATCTACAGGTAACTTGTGTTTTATTGATTTAAAATAATGTATAAGTTTTGTTTTGTGAAGTGAATTGTCTTTACAACCGCTGCAATCTTTCCTTAGTTGGTGATGGGCTGCTGTTGTTTAAATATGCACTATCAGCAATTAATGCATTTGTCACCTGTTTTTGAAACATTAATGTAGAGATTTCTGTTGGAGTTTTGAACACAACTTTGCCAACCTTCACCATTGAATTTCTCAGTAAATTACCTTCCATTCTACTAATTGGCAATTTTTCAAAAAAGTGGACTGTCAAGGGTGACAGGATATGGTGAAAGATTGTGACTGACTGTGCCACTTGGTAAACTCAGGAGGCATAAAGCACAGAAATGGGCCCTTCGGTCCAACTTGACCATGCCGACCAGGTTTCCTAAATTGCACTTGTCCCATTTGTCTGCATTTGGCCCATATCCCTCTAAACCTTTCCTATCCATGTACCTGTCCAATTGTATTCACCTCTACCACTTCCTCTGGTAGCTCATTCCATATACACACCTATGCAAAAGTTGCCCCTTGGGTCCCTTTTAAATCTTTCCCCTCTCGCCTTAAGTCTATGCCATCTAGTTTTGGACTTTGCTGCCCTTGGGAAAAGATCTTGGCTATTCGCCTTATCTATGCCCATCATGATTTTATAAACCTATATAATGTCATCCCTCGGCCTCCTCCGGTCCAAGGAAAAATTTCCCAGCTTATCCAGTCTCTCCTTAAATTCAAACTGTGCAGTCTTGGAAATATCTTTGTAAATCTTGTTTGCATGCTTTCCAGTTTCATAACATCCTTCCTGTAGCAGGGCAACCAATTGTATGCAGTGTTCCAAATGTGGCCTTACCATTGTCACGTACGATTGCTGCTAGACCTGCTGAGTTTCTGCAGGCCTTTGTTTTTATGACAGTGGATTAGCTTGCTTAAGGACCAACTATTCCTAATGCAGAATCTTCAGCACCAACCGAGCCCACAACTATTCCTCTCGTCTACCTGCTCAGCAGTGGACTTCAAGCCAATGCTGAATATCTTGGTTCTACTTATTTCATTTCCTTTGCATAATAAACTATTTTTGTTAATAATTTATCTGCACTGTTGTGCTTGTGTTTCAGTGAAAGAAGACCTCATTAAATAAAACAACATAGTATGATCTGTAGAGCAAAAACAAATTGCTGGTGAAACTCAGCAAGTTCTGGCAGCATCTATGGAGAGAAAAGAGTTAATAGTTGGAATTCACTGGACTTGAATTGTTGACTCTACTGCTTCTCCATAGGTGCTGCCAGACCTGCTGAGTTTCTCCAGCAGTTTGTTCATATTTCAGATTTCCAGCATCAGCAGTCATTTGTTTTATTTTGTGAACTATCAAGCTGGATTTCAATGTGGGGTTTGACTTGTCCAGTAGTAATATCAGCTGGAATCATAACAATTTGGCGCATAGGGTAGAAAAAGCAGATATCAGCAATACCTAAAGTGGACCTGAATGTTTAATTGACAGAATGTGGCCTTATCACCACCTTGGGATATTGGAAAGCATTTCACAGCTGATTGCTTACTGAGAGAGCCAAAGTTGTGCGGTCTTTAAGATAGTAAATTAAATAATGGTGTTATTCATATGGAATAGTATTAGCTTAGACACTGAACTGCATGCACTTCTTTGAACAATACCTTTGTATCTTCTGTGTTAACTAAACAAATATTTAGGATTTCTGTTCAACAACTTGTCCAAAAGACAGCGCTTTCAGAATAGCCTTTACTGTCACTGGCAGTGAAAAGTTTGTAATATCATCGCTTTGGTGCCATCTTAGGTACTGGCTACCTAGGTAAAGATGTTTTGTTTGTTACAGAATTGAAAGGGTATAAAAAAGTTTTAAAAAGCATTTGACTTGCTGGAAGTCCAGAATAAGAATAAAAATATCTTTTAAAAAGTACTCAAACTATAGTCCTTTTCGCTAAGTCTGTGCCCACCGGCCTTCAGAGCACGAGACCTCGCTGACCTCCAGCCCAAACTCCCCTCCAGAACTCACTTCCAGGACTTGTCTCCCAGGCCAGCCTGGACTTGGAATGCTTCCCGCTCTGGGATCCGGCATGCAACGCGCATCCAGGACTTGCCTCGCGTGCGGCATGGTCTCAACTCGTCTCCCACACCAGGAGTTTTGATAACCTAGCACGCATTCACCTTCAGTGTACTTATTATGTCAGCTTGGATGATGTGCCTAAAAGCCCACAACTTTGAGTCCAAGTTGAGGGTTGTATCACTGAGTTAATGTGGCTGTTGAGGAGTGATGAGCCAAATAGTCATTGTTTCTATTAACTTTTCTTCACTAATTTTATTAATCCACTAGTTTAATGAAATAACTGGTTGTGTTCCAGCACCTGTTTACAGCCCATTCATTTTGGTTCTATTTAATGTGCAAGAACAGATAAAATGCTGGAACTAATATGTATGTAATATGTGGCAAAGCACATGACTTCAACGTTTCTTTTGTGGTCTTGTTTTACAGGCACGTAGCATCCTTTCTATCAGTCTTCAAGCTGGTCTTAATAGGACTAATTATAGTTGGTAAAGACCCCTTTCCTAGTCTGGGCATGGAAACACCTAGCATTTGGCACTGGAGTCAGCAGAACAAGGTAACTAATTGCAGGAAAAAGGTGCTAAAGTAGAAAAGTTCTCCTCAAATGTAATGTTTGAAAAAACAATTCTGGTAACAGTAAGCTATGCTTATATTTAAAAAATGCTCCACTTGTGTGACATGATTTGTCTTGATTGCTTGAGGATGCTTACACATGATTTTTAAAACCCCAAATTATTATTTTGCCTTGAATTGTTACGCTGTGGACAAACAATGGCTGAAGAGACACACGTACTTCTAGACCCAATGGATTGGAAGTGCTTGAGAGCTTCCCACAGAAGCCCAATTTATATTGGCAACTCAGCAATTGACAGAACACAGCTGTTTTTTGCTTTATTCACGGAATATGGAAGTCAAAGGCTGCCCGTTCCTATTGCCGTTGATCTGAGTGGCTTGCCAGGCTATTTCAGAGGGCAGTTAAGTCTGTCACATTCTTGTGGACCTCAGTTATGTGTAGGCCGGATCAGGTAAGGATGGCCAATTGCTGATTCTTCCTAGCCCTCCCTTCCTTGGTGATACAGTTTGGTTTTTATGATCAATAGCAGTTTAATGGCACAATTGCTGACGATATCTTTAAAATCCAGATTTATTGTTTAATTACTGAAGATTAATTTTGATAATTAATTATGATGCAGTATTCCTAGATTATTAGTATAGGCCTCTAGATTACTCATCCAGGGTCATTACTACTATGCCACTGCCTCCCCCAACATGTGGATTCAAATATGCAGAATGTTGCTGTAATTTTTAGATTTGAGAAGTAACTTGGTCAGTTTAGCAAATTGCCCCACAGCACTATTTGTATTTGACTGTTAACAAGTCATTTATAATGCAAAAAATTGTTACGAATGTCGATCTCCTGCAAAAAATTATTGACTAAAATTTCGTTAAATTTCAACATAAAGGCATTTAATATCTGATCAGGATTTATTGATATGTAACTGAAGTTGTAAGGATTTGTCTCACTGTGGTCACAGCAGATATCATACAGCAAATTTTTTGTTGTGAAGTTTTTACTGCTGTTTAAACTGCATATTACATTGTTTTTGACACACAATAGATGGCTGAAAATAATGAATTTTTTTACAACGATTGTTGCAACATTGAGGTAGAAATGTCACTGTACAGGAGGAGGCCATTTGGTCATCACAGAGCTAGCTAAAAAAGAGCTATCCAGTCTAATTCCGTTTTCTGCCTCTTGTTTAGAGGCTCTTGGTTTACAGTACCGCATTCAGATTTTTTTTTTAAAATGTGATGAAAGTTTCTGTCTCAACCACCCTATCAGGTTGTGCAAGCAATAGCTACACAAGATTTTTGCAGCCACAATTTGTGGCTAACAGTAGAGCCACCTGCATGGGCATTCTTCCGAGAAAAAAAAACCCAGAGCATACTATATGGTTTGTGTTGTGAAAATGAAACAGCACTGACGTTTTTATAACTTTACTGCTGTTAGCTACCACTAGATGGTGTCTGCTTTCCACACCTCAAAGAAATGACTTTAACTGAAGCCCCATTCAATTATGTGAATAGTTAAATTTTGTGGGATTTAGACAAACTTTTAAGGGAGAATTGATATTTTGTTCTGGCCCTCTGGATGGATAGATAGTCATACAGCATGGAAACAAGCCCTTCAGTCCGACTCGTTCGTGCAAACTGGATTATCCAAACTAAACTAGTTGCGTTTGCCTGCATTTGACCCATATTCCCTCTAAACCTTTCCTATTCATGTATCTGTCCAAACTTCTTTTAAATGTTGTAACTGTACGTGCATCTACCACATCCTCTGGCATTCATTCCACATACGAACCACCCAAAAGTGGTTTGTGTAAACAAAGTTGCCCCTCGGGTCCCTTTTTAAATCTTTCTCCTCTTTCCTTAAAATTATGCCCCCTAGTTTTGAACTTCCCTGCCCTTTTTTAGATGCATTTGTCATCCATTTTATACCCGATATCGGTTAGTATAAACTACTGAACAAATGTGAAACCATGCAGACTAATCTTCATTGAGAAGTATTTCAGTTAGAACATGACATTAAAACCAGCTGCATTTGTTTTATTTAGATCTATGCATGTATGATGGTGTTCTTCCTTAGCAACATGATTGAAAATCAGTGTATGTCTACAGGTGCATTTGAGATTACATTAAATGGTAAGTCATAAGATTAACATTACTGTCTTGTTAAGCAACTGCATTTGTAGTCCCATCTAAATATGGTAGTCCAGTAACTTAAAAAAAATCAAAACTGAACTAAGTTATGCATCAGTAAATAACACTTGGTGAACATAAACAAGGTTACAAGATTTTTTATATTTACCAAGTGATGTGTAAATTAAATGTGAAGGCAGTTAATGTCACATTTTGATGCCATTTTAAAAATTTCTAGTAATGTACAAAGAAACAAACTGAAGAAAAAAATCACTTTGAATTATTCTGTTCTTAATTAAATAGTAAAAGAATAATGTTCAACTGCAGATGGGACCAAGCTATAGAACCTTGAAGTAAAACTAAGATACGATACAAAACATAGTTACCAGACTCGAAACTTAAACTCTGTTTTCTTCTCACAGATGTTGCCAGACCTGAGTTTTGCCAGCAATTTCTGTATAGAACCATAAATACTTATTGTTAGCTTTTTCAATATCTATCTTGTGTTTACTTCTGTGCCTTGATCCTATTTCTTCCTTTCTTCATCATAAATTTAGGTTATCTGGCTCTTCTGTGTAAAATTGCTTCTTCCAACTGTCTGTCTATTTCATTAAGTTATGTACATTGTGTTCAATTATTTTACCCCCTTTCTGGCTTCCTATCTTTACTACAGCAAATTTTATCATCAAGATTGATGTGCCAAAGTGCATTTTATCCATTAAGTAGTCCCAGACCATGGAATGGACAGACTTATTTCAACCCTACTATAATACGAGCAGCTCTCATTAAACCATCTCTTTTGCCTGTCAAAGCATTTCAGGAAGGAAGAAACATTTGGTAGAAGGTCGGAGTTCTCTTCTTCAAATGATAATTGGTGCTAAGTCACTTGTTGATTTTTAAATCTGAGTGTGCTTAACAAAAATGATCAAAGGAAGGAATGTTAAATAGGGCAAGTATATATTGGGTTGCAGATAATAATCTAATTGAATGTTTGACCAGCTTGGGAGCTAAATGGCCTCCTTATCTTAAACCAGTTTTCTTTCCATACACTAGCCTTTCTTGTTCTACCTGTGCCTGCATTTCTTCTAATAAGGCCATTAAGATACCATCAGCTTCTGAACTGCTCTTCATTACATTGCACTTGGGTTTATCCATCATTAGTTATTTGTGGGGCTGGCAGCAGTTGGGGGCAAGGGAACCTTATGTTTGACAAATTTAATAATTTAATCAAATTATCAATCTGAATAGCGTGCATTTTAGCATGACTTGAGTTCTGAAAGTTTTACCTGGTTGATATCTATATCTACACTTTCCCAGTCTCTGTTTTAACATAGATGTTAAATCATTTCCACTTCAGAAACAATTTATATATCTAAAGGATAATTGAAAGTTTATAAAACTTCTGCTTTTTCCAGGGGCAGCATGGTGACTCTGTGGTTAGCATTGCTGCCTCAGTGCCAGGGCCCCGGGTTCGATTTCACCCTCATGCGACTGTCTATGTAGTGTTTACACATTCTCCCTGTGTCTGCGTGGATTTCGTCTGGGTGCCCCAGTTTCATCTGTGTCCGGGGATATGCAGGCTAGGAGGTAATAGGTTAATCGTTTAAACAGTTGTGCAATCAAGACATTGACACATTTCCACCATGAAAGTAGATTTTTTTCCTGCTTTCTGTGGACAAACTGTACCTGAGTTATTATCCACTGTTCCAAGTAGATATCAGTGTTGTAGCGTACTGGAACTGCTTAGCTAGGCATTCATCTAATTTTGGAGCACAAGTCTTTAATACTACTAAAAATTATAAGGGCCCATAGCCTTTGCAGATTGCAGGCCTTCATCTGTTTCTTAATATCACTTGGAGTGAATCAACTTGGCTGTAAACTATCTTAATGCTGGGACCCCAAAAGGATGCAAAGATGGATCATCCACTGGACATTTCTGGCCAATGTTACACCTCACTGAGGTAGCGCACTGGAAATCAGGCCCCATTATTGCTGGAGTCATCACAAAAGTTAGTTTGTTTTTATAGAAGTACATAAAATTTCCAGTTTTCCTGATTTTCAGACCCAAATTGACAGAAGGCACAGATAACGGTGTGGAGCAGGAGGAACACAGCAGGCCAGGCAGAGTCAGAAGAGCAGTCTTTTGGGTCAGGACCCTTCTGTTTTCTGAATGGCTTCTCCCTGTCTTGTTCACAGCAATAAGGTGTTCAGTTATCTATCAACTAATCATATAGGTGTTGGCAGGCAAAAGGCCTTTGTCATCGATAGCTGGCCACTAGTCCATAAAGCAATCAGCTACTTGTTGCCATCTGGTTCTTTACGTGTCCACACCATTAGCTCTAGCTCATCTGGGTCATGTACTGCTTGAATTAGCAGCTGTGTAAACATTGTTTGTGATGAGTGTCTGATTACTTTTTTTCAAAAACATTCAGTAATCCTTCAGCAATCTTTGGTTTCTAAAACTATATTTTTCCCCATTTCTGCCCACAATTAAAATTCAGGAATTTAATGACATGGTTTTTATGTAAAAGTTGTATATTCTGTTTATGTGGTTTGAACAAGTTCGCTTACCAAATCTGAAGCTCTTTCGCATACAGTCATACCCAAAGTGCTGGTAACTAATGTTTAACAAGCTTTTTATTCTACTGTTCTTTAGATGTTCCAGTATGGTCCAAACTCGAGTCTGGCCATCTTCCATCCATGCAACAGCTTGTGCAGATTCTGGACAATGAAATGAAGCTCAATGTACACATGGATTCAATCCCACTGCATCGATCTTAGCTAAATCTTAAGGCATTGAACAGCCTTTTTTGTGAGTAATCCTTTCAGATGTATAATTTTAATAAGCATGTGAAAGTACTACAAAAACAGTTTTCTTAGTTAACTGTTTAATTTATACTAGAAAAATTTGCAGACTTGTTTTTGTGGCATTCCCCTGTTACAGAAATATCTTTATTTAGAAGGAAAATGAGGAAAAGTTAAGACTTGAACAGAAGCGTTTGAAGGCGTTTAAAGACTGAATGGAACAGGTTAAGCAGATGTGACTGTGAAGGGATATAGTTTTGAAAGTCCATGAATAGAACATAGAACAGTACAGGCCCTTCGGCCCACAATGTTGTGCCGACCTATTATCCTACTAAGATCAAACTACCCTGCATACCTTGTGTTATACTATCATCCATGTGCTTATCCAAGAGTCGCTTAAATGCCTCTAATGTATCGGACTCCACTACCACTGCTGGCAGCGCGTTCCACACGCCCACCACTCTGTGTGAAGAACCTACCTCTGACATCTCCCCTATACCTTCCTCCAATCACCTTAAAATGATGTCCCCTCGTAATAGTCACTTCTGCCCTGGGAAAAAGTCTCTGGGTATCCACTCTACCTATGCCTCATCATCTTGTAAACCTCGATCAAGTCACCTCTCATCCTTCTTCGCTCCAATGGAAAAAGCCCTAGCTCCCTCAACCTTTCCTCATAAGACCTGCCCTCCAGTCCAGGCAGCATCCTGGTAAATCTCCTCTGCACCCTCTCTAAAGCTTCCACATCTTTAATAAGACAACCAGAACTGAAAACAATATTCCAAGTGTGGTCTAACCAGGGTTTTATAGAGCTCCAGCATAACCTTGCAGCTCTTAAAGTCAATTCCCCTGCCAATGAATGCCAACACACCGTACAGCACCTTTACAACCCTATCAACTTGGGTCACAACTTAGAGGGATCTATGAAAGTGGACCCCAGGATCCCTCTGTTCCTCCACACTGCCAAGAATCCTGCCATTAACCCTGTATTCTGTATTCAAATTTGACCTTCCAAAATGAATCACCTCACACTTTTCTGGGTTGAATTCCATCTGCCACTTCTTTGCCCAGATCTGCATCCTGGCAATGTCCCATTGCAACCTACAAGAGCCCTCCACACAATCCACAACTCCACCAGCCTTCATGTCATCAGCAAACTTACTAACCCACCCTTCCACTTCCTCATCCAAGTCATTTATAAAGATCACAAAAAGCAGAGGTCCCAGAACAGCAGAACGCCACTGGTCATGGACTCCAGGCTGAATACTTTCCATCTACTACCACCCTCTGTCTTCTGTTGGACAGCCAGTTTTGTATCCAGACAGCCAATTTTCCCTGAACCCCCATGCCTCCTCACTTTCTGCATGAGCCTACCATGGGGAACCTTATCAAATGCCTTGCTAAAATCCATATACCCCATATCCACTGCTCTGCTTTCATCCATGTGTTTTGTCACATCCTCAAAAAATTCAGTAAGGCTTGTGAGGCATGAATTGCCCCCCTCAAAGCCATGCTGACTCTTTCTAATCAAACTGTGCTTTTCCAAATAATCATAAATACTATCTCTCAGAATCCTCTCCAATAATTTTGCCCACCACAGGAAGACTGGCTGGTCTGTAATTCCCAGGATTATCCCTATTCCCTTTCTTGAACGAGGGAATGACATTTGCCACCCTCCAATCTTGTGTTTTTCCTGGTTAGCCAGAACAAGTTTTTCTTTTATCTAAAAGATTGCACTTATAGTCATTTAGCATTCAGGTTTTAAATGTAGGCTCAGAGTAAAAACTGACCGTCAAACGCACCATTTCTGATTCTGATGGGCATGCAAGCAGTTGAACTAAGATGATAGTTTACCTGCTACCCACAGGCAATTGCATGAAATATATTATTTTTAGCTAATTTAGTTATTAACTACTGATTAACATCTCAAGGTTTTAAATGCGTTAAAAACATTGTGGTATTTTGTGATGAATGGATGATGTGTCACTAGTTTTGCAACTGTAAATGTTGAAAGAAGCCAGATAATGTTCTCATGTCTTATTCTCCGTTTTTTTTTTGTCTTGCAGGTATTTTAGAAGATGTTTTCTGAGAATGGTAAGACTGATGACTATGAAGGACTGCACTTAAAGCAGCACTGACTGTTTGTGCAGACTGGATGCTCCCCATCAGTCATACTGGTCCTTTGAAAACCTCCTCTGAAAAATAGAAAGGACTTCAATGCTCATACACTGATCATGTTCACCCTGTAGTGTACTGCACATATATCAAATTGTAATATGAACATAGTTTCTTTTTTATATGTAATTTAATATGACTTTATGGCAACATTTAATGAAATAATACAGATGGCAAATAACAGTTCTGTTATTTTGTGTTTTAAATGAGTGGTATACTATAAATTTTATGTTTGATATTGTAATTTAGAATTTAACTATAATTTATGCAGGCACATGTTTAACCCGTAGCCCTGGTGTAAACCTATTCAAATGCACTCTAGTAGGCTAAGGTTTATCTTTTGTACCTAGTAAGAGTATTAGTAATTTGAAATCACACACTGAAATATTTGCCAACAGGGAAAAAGATTTTGTTATGCCCTTTTCTAGAGCTTCCAAGTAGCCTGAATATTATTTTTCACGTGATGGAGAAAATGGCCATTTCACTTCATACAACATTTTTAAACAAAACTTGGGGCACAAAGTGTCTTGTTTCAGAAGGTATAACTAGCCTGGTAGCAAAAGATAATGCTAGTGGAATGCTGCCTAAAAGTCGGTTTAAATATGTCTTTGATTTGCATGGAATAATATAACCACAAGAGTGAACTCTGGGATTTCAATTGGAAAGCTAACATATAAGAATGAACATACTAAATTTTAACACACTGTGGTGTGAAAAGTTGAAACTGGAATTCAAAAGGATGATGCAGAGGTCAGGTCTCTCAAACCTAATTGGAATGCGTAATAAGTTCATAACAACTTTGGATCAACTGTAAGCTAGCCCATTGAGCTCATTTGTGAGGGGAACAAAACAAAAATCTCACACGGCCAGCTTTTTTGAAATTTAATTTGAAATAAAATGGAATAAACATTTTTTTTGCCATAATTGAATTTGATAATGCCACTGCAGCGCTTTGGAATTTTATTTTCTTGTCTGCCTTTGATTATTTGTTTACTGGAAGGAAAATTTTAATTTGAATTTTTGCTGATGTCTCAGATATCTGGTTCTTTTTGAATCTCCTCATTTGCCTGCTATGTTTTGGTAAAAGGGTAAACACCCACAACATTCCCTAATAACCTTTGTGGGGTGCACTGTGCTAAAATTAGCAGTGATGCACATAGTTCCAATTAAATATTTTAAAATACTTCTAATACCCTAGGCAACATTCTGTCTGTACCAATTTGCAATATCAAGTAGCACATAAAATATATCAATTCAGTGAATTATTGATTACCACTCTCTAAACTTTGAGGGATAGACGGAAAGAAAACACTGGCAGCCATAGAAACCATTCCCATGATTTCTCAACAGATCTCTCTCCTCACCATGTACTTTTTTTAGAGTGGATGGGAGTGATGGGTGAGTGCCAATGGTGAGAAACAAGGATAAACACCATAAAACAAGTCAGCACAAATCATAAAGTTACTCCTGTTGCAGTAAAGTTTCAATTCTAATGTATCAGATTTTCAAATGAATTATTTTATACTTGGTCACAGCACTGAAAGATTTAAGATGAGATTGCCAGCATGTGACTTTTGCAGCTTAGGTTTCCTTGCTCTATAATATTTTCTTCATCAATATAGATGATTTCAAACTGTATGTATCTTTGCATTCTGTACTATCTTAATCCATTAGAAAATGCACTTTATTTTTGAAGAGTATTTGATACCTTTCCTTTTATTAAAAAAAATCCTTTTAGCCATAGTTCCATATACAAATGAGAAAAAAAGTGTCATTATTTCTAATACTGCTTAAACATTTGAATTACTTTAAATCTTTGAATTCACATGATGTAAGAATATCTTGTGTATTTTGAACAGTCATGTGTTGTGTTGCGCTCTTTGAATTTAATTGCAAAATTTTTCCTCCTTGCTTTATCTGAAACATTTGTGACTTGCCTAAACCATCTCAGTTACCTTGTTGTTCTGCATTCTCATCTTTTGAGAACAAGTTACACGATATCATCCTTCGTAAATTTCTTCTCAAACCTTTCAATAAAGTCATCTTTTGAGACACAAGGGCATTGCTTTCACCAAGGTGCTTGATTATGGTGCTTTTTCTAAAACGAGTAAATGGAGAAAAAGAGATGGCATTTACCTTTGTCTCTTTTTTGTTCCTTCTCCATCAAAAAAGTTGATGCTTTGTACCCCTATACTGGCTAACCTGGTATGAGCACAAAGCTTGCTTACCTAGATATCATTTAGGTCAATAGTCAAATATAGGGTAAATTAGTGTTTTATATTTAGCCGTGCAGATGGAGTATTCATTCTTAATGCATTTAAATATTGCTTCCAAAGGCTGAGTCACATCTTGGTGTTCTGCTTTTGTGCAGACTAGGCAGTCAGTTTCTGATTAAAGTGTTCTAGCTGTAACAGCAGATTGTATTGGGTGTATCAATTAGGTGAGTTGAAACTGCAATGATGGTACTGAATTTTAAATTTTCATTCCCTTGCACCATGCCTAATTATATCTAGAACATGAAACTCCTTATCTCTGCTACCTTGAGTATTCTGGAAAAATTATTTGCAGTATGAGTTTGTTCCATGTTTCCATTGCTGACCTTGAAATGTAAGAAAGAGCTGCAAATTTTAAGGAACAAATTCTATTTGTATTTCATGAGTGAAATGTTTCATATTAACCAGAGGCTATTCAAGAATGGCTTTTGAGGTTAAAAGAAAATGTATTTCGCAATGATGCCTGGCTCCCCATTAAATGCTCAGTTTAAATTTATTCCATGTTTATAAAGTGCAATAGACTGCCTTATATCATCCACATCTTAAAAGCTTTGCATCTGAAGAGTTTGCAGGTTGTCTTTTGTTTTTGCATTCATGCGCCTGCCCAGTGCTTCCTGGGTCTTTGTGAATTTGTAGGAAAGGACTGAATGCATTCTTGAAATGAGCCTGAAGTAAGCTGCCTGTACTGATTTGTGCTGTTGTTAATGCTTATGACTTCCAAGATTTTAAATTGCCGTAACCCACTGTAGCAGAATGGAGTTGAATTTTTGTTTTTGCAATTAGCTATTTTGTAGATGTGCTTTCTTGCCACTATAAAAATTTCTGTTGTGTAATGCATCATGCCCTTTTTTCTCTGACACAACTACATTAGGTAAACAAGGACATTAATGGCTTTGTACAATTCTGATCTTTCAGTTTTGTTTTATTGAATTCACAATTTGCCATCTGCCATGCAGGGACTTGACTTTAGCCTGGGGTTCTGGATTGCGAGTCTAGTAACATTGTTACTATGCCATGGCCTCCCATTCTTTGCTTTCAAATAATAAACACAAAATTCTAAAATTTGAGCTTTAAGACATATCAAAAATAGTAAAGTAACATAAGCAGTCTCATTTTGAGCAGTCAGAATAAAGTTGATTTTACCGTTTCCTTTGGTTGTCTTCCTGAATCAGGTGGTATTGAGTGCTCACAGGCTGTCTGTGGCTATTCTGCAAATCTGACTGGTCACATTTCATTGTCTTGTCCATTCAATCATAAGCTAGCTAAGGTGGTGTGGGAAAAGGAAGGAAGTAATTTATCATCAAACTTTGTAATGCAAATATTTAAAGTGAGTGTGCACCATGGTAGCATGATCTGCCAGAGTCATTTAAGGTCTGGGCTTCCTCCCAACATTTCTAATTAGCAAGTGGGATCTGTTTATTTGAACAGCCTGTGAATCAGCATCTCATCTCGAGGGTCAAGTAACATTTCAATGACGTTGAGTAGGTGTGTAGCCAGTGGTGATGGTGACAATACATACAGTCAAACTGCAGCAGAGGAAGGATTGTGATTTCGGAGCACTTTGAAAACTGACAAGTCACGGGGTAGCAGATTACCCGTAGAAACATGATCATAGGTTATGTCTAAAGCAAACACTGTTCCAATGCCACGTGTCTCTCTGGTGCCTTTCACAACGGCCGATGCAAAATGCTTTACAACCAGTTAGGTACTCCTCCAAGCGTACCAAATTCATAAGCCAAATTATGCACCCCAAGATCCCACTAACAGTACAGAGATGACTACCAGTTCTTTTTTTAAACTGTGGGTTGGAGGATGTATGTTGCTAGGGCATGAAGAACAACTCCCTGGTCTGTTCTTGAACTCACACCGAGCTCTGTTGCATGCACCAGACACTCTCTTCAGAATGGTCACTGGACCCAACATATTAACTCTGCTTTGTCTCCTCAGACACTGCCAGACTTGTTGAGTTTTTCTGGTAGTTTCAGTTTTTGTTTGATTTCCAGTATCCATAGTTCTTTGATTTTATTTTCACGTTTTGGGGATTTGGTTATTGGTTTAACACCATCTCTGGTAATATCAACAGTGCACCACAGTCAGTCTCTCAAAAGTATAGCTTAAAGTAAATGAGATGTATGATCAACCAGTTCCTTGATGATACCATTTGTGGGAGGAATGCTGGCTAAGGGGACAGGGAGAAAACCCAATTTTTTTTTTTGTCATGCTATGAGTTTTTTTCACGTGAACATGCAGAAACATTCCCCATTTGTGGATATATTATTTCAGTTAAGCCTTTTTAAATAAAGCTGAATTTCTGAATCTTCTATTCAAACCTAATATTGTTTGGAATGTGGTTATCTTTTCACCTTGTCTTGGGATCCTGCTACAGCACAAGGGTAGTTCAGGGAATTTGTTTTTAAATGCATTCATGGGATATGGGTGTTGCTGGATAGGCAAGGGCAGCTAAAAGTGAAGTATGTTGCTGTAGAAATCATATGTAGGCTAGACCAGGTGAGTGACAGTTTCCTACCTTTAAAGGATATTTATGAACCAGAAGGGTTTTTCCTGAATCTCGAGGATATCTTGAGATTCTTAATTCCAGATTTTTAATTGAATTGAAATTACATCATCTTCCATGACAGGATTCGAACTCAGGTCTCCAGATCATTAATGGGGTCTCAGGATAATAACACTAGGCCATCACCTCCCCTATCTTTGTGCGTCTGAGATCTTCAAAAGGATCTGCTTCATTTGAGGAAACCAACTTGCTTCTCAAAGCCCTTCGCCTATGCTTTTTAACATCAGGTATTTAGAGTAAACTCAGAACATTTTCTAGCTTCCTGGAAGAAACATGAACCTTTGGTCTAACAACATCAGCGTCAAATTGCATTTGCAAATAAAAGTGTATTCCATCACAGAGGTTGGGAGAGTTAATTCCTCTGAAGTGTTGTTTTGTATAGCAACTTTAAAACTGCTAAAACTCCTTTCTTATGTTGCACATATGGTGGCATCTCTATCCCAGTTGGTTCTATCAATGAGTGAAGTAACTGTTCCTCAACAGAAGGCATATTAATTATATACAGATAAGGCATGTATCTAAGAGGTTACGGCAATTGCTTTATTGTCACGTGCACCAAAGTACAGTGAAAAGCTTTGTTTATGAGCGGTACAGGCAGATCACATAAGCAAGGATATGCAGATTAACATCACACCGGGTGTGCGTTAGGTGAGATCAATGTTAGCAAGATCAGCGTTATTTTAGGCTAGAGTCCATTCATCAGTCTAGCAATGGCTGAGGAGAAGCTGTTCCTGAACCTGCTGGTGTGTGTGTTCAAGCTTTATCTTCTGCCTGACGGAAGAAGTTGTCGGAGATCATTACCAGCGTGCGATGGGTCTTTGTTGGTCCGCTGCCGCAGAAAGGCAGCCATGTAAATGGAGTCTATGGATGGAAGGTTGGCTTCCGTGATGGTTTGGACTGTGCACGGCACCTTCTATAGTTTGTTATGGTCCTGGGCAGAGCAGTTGCCGAACTAGGCAGTTATGGTCCTGGACAGGGTACTTTCAATGGTGCATCTGTAGAAGTTGGTGAGGAACCTTATGGACATGTCAAATTTCCTGAGATGCCTGAGGAAGAAGAGGCATTGTTGTTTTCTTGACTGTCGCATCTACGGGGGAAGTCCAGGACCGGTTGTCAGTTATCGTCACTGAGGAACTTGTTGCTCCGCATTCTCTCCACCTCCGTTGCATTGATGTAGATGGGGGCGTGTTCTCGTCCTTTCTTTCTGAAGTCGATGATCAGTTCTTTAGTTTTGCCAATATTGAGAGACAGATTGTTTTCATTGCACCATGTTACCAAGCCCTCTATCTCCCTTCTGTATTTTGGCTTGTCATTGTTAGATATCCGTCCCACTAAGGTGATGTCATCAACGAACTTGTAGATGACGTTCGTTTGAAATTTGGCAACACAGTTGTGGATGTACAGGGAGTATAGTAGGGGGCTGAAGGACGCATTCTTGGGGGTCTCCAGTGTTCAGTGTTATTGTGGAGGAGGTGCAGTTACCTATCATCACCGATTGTGGCGTGTGGGTCAGAAAGCTGAGGATCGAGTTGCAGAGGGCAGAGCCAAGACCAAGTCATCGAGTTTTGAGATCAGTCTGGAGGGGATAATGGTGTTGACTACATCTCTGTTTTCAATGAGCAGGAGTCTGATGTAGGTGTCTTTGTTGTGCAGATGTTCCAGGGACGAGCGTATGGCTGGGGATATAGCATCTGCTGTGGACCTGTTATGTCGGTAGGCAAACTGTAGGGGTTTGAGGTGGGCTGCAAGACTGGAGTTGATGTGGGCTGTGACCAGCTTCTCAAAGCACTTTGTGATTTATTGAGGTCAGAGCCACTGGGTGATAGACATTAAGGCACACTGCATGTGCTTTCTTGGGTACGAGGATGATGGTGGTCTTTTCGGAGCAGTTGGGGACTTCAGCTTGTAGGAGGGGGAGGTTGAAGATGTCGCTGAATACCTCCACCTGTTGGTCTGCATAGGATCTGAGTGCACGGCTGGGGAGACCGTCCGGGACTATTGCTTTCCTTGGGTTTACTCCAGGGAAGACTGACCTGATGTCTGGAGGGAACAGGTGTGTCAGGGGCTGTCGGGGCAGGTATGACCGCCGCTGGCATCCTGCTCAAACCGAACATAGAAAGCATTGAGTACATCAGGGAGGGATGTTTCTTTGTCCGCTAACTTGCTCTGCTTCATTTTGTATCCTGTAATATTGTTCGGGGCTCGCCATAGGCAGCAGGAGTCTGTTTGGTAGGTTTGCGCCTCTAACTTGGTCCGGTACTGCCTCTTCGCTTCCCTGATGGCTTTGCAGAGGTCATTTCTGGATTTTCTGTATTGGTCTGGGTTACCCAACTTGAATGCTACATGTCTGGTCTTCAGGAGGGAGTGGATTTCCTGGTTCATTCAGGAACACTCGGATTAACTTCTTTGGTACACAGTCCCCCTCGCATTTGCTAACGCAGTCCGTGATGGTGGTGGCGTACTCGTACTTGAACACAGTCCAATCCGCCGAGATCCATCAGTCCCAGAGATGGTCTTCCACAGCCTGGGACCAGCAACGTACTTCCTTTTGTGAAGGATCCTTTTGTGAAGGACCTCCTGTTTCAGCTTTTGCTTGTAAGCTGGGAGGAGGAACACAGTGCTATGATCTGATTTCCCAAAGTGTGGATGAGGGACGGAGCGGTAGGTGTCTTTGGTTGTGTGGCAGTGGCCCAGAATGTTTGGTCCTCTGGTGGGGCAGGAGATGTGTTGGAACTTTCACAGCAACCTCTTGAAGTTGGCTTGGTTGAAGTCGCAGCCACAATGAATAGGGCCTCGGGGAATTTCGTCTCTAGAGTGTTTGTGACTGTGTAAATCACGTCTAGGGCATTCTTCACATCTGCATAGGGTGGTATGTAGACTGCTGACAGGATAGCGGTGGTGTACTCTTGCGGTAGGTAGTAGGGACAGCATTTTACCGTAAGGTATTCTAGGTCCCGGGAGCAATGGCTTGCTGGAGTCGCTACGTATGAGCACCAGGAGGTGTTGATCAGGAAGCATACCCCACTGCCCTTCGCCTTACCTGAGGATGCCGTGCAGTCCATGTGATATATGGAGAACCCGTCAGCTTCTAGGGCACAGTCGGAAATGGCAGGGATGAGCCAAGTCTCCGTGGAGCAGAGCACACAACAATCTCACAGGAAGGTAAGTGTAGATCTGAGTTCATCCAATTTGCTTTCTATAGCCTGGACATTTGCTAGGAGTATGCTGGGGAGGGGTGTCTTGAAACTGATTGAGACTGCCCCATGCCAGTCTCAAAGTTGGTCTCAAACCAGTTGGTTTGACCTCAGTTAGATTGCTAATAACATCCACTGTCTAGACTAAACTTTCATGAAAATGTAACTATATGATGATACCCTAGCTGTGTCAATGAGCTTGGAAGGAGGGAGTAACTGCTGAGTTGGAATTTGAGAGTAATTTTTAGCCGTAAGTGCAACATCAAGACACTGACAAAGGAATCAGATGCTATTTGCAACGGAAGATTAAAGGTAATGTCCCATATTTCTACTGGCTGCTCTCTCATTAGAGGCTGATGACTGGTGGTGGTTTAACCTGAGGGTGACCATGTGTCAGGCAATGGGAGAGGTTCAAAAGGAAGGTCGCTCATGGTAACCTCAGTATGGGAATTGTACCCATGCTTTTGGCATCACTGCATCACAAACCAGTGATCCAGCAACTGTGCTTACTGGAAAATTATAGAGTCAGAGTACTTACAGCCCTTCAGCCCAAACTGGTCCATGCCGACCAGAATGTCCATCCACGTTAATCCCATTTCCCTGCACCTGGTCCATATCCTTCTAAACCTTTCTTATTCATGTATTCATCCAAATGCCTTTTAATGAACCTGCCTGAACCACTTCCGCTGGCAGCTTATTTCATATGCATACCACCCTCTGTGTAAAATAAAAAGTTGCCCCTCAGATTCCCATTTATTCTTTCCCCTCTTACCTTAAACTGATACCTTCTAGTCCTCGATTTCCCCAACCCTGGGAAAAAGACTGAGTGCATTCACCCTATCCATGCCTCTCATGATTTTATACACTTCTGTAAGATCCACCCCCCCCACAACTCCTCAGTCTCCTATGCTCTAAAGAAAAAAGTCCTAGCTTGTCCAACCTCTCCCTATAACTCAAACCCTCGAGTCCTGGCAATGTTCTTGTAAATTTCTTCTGCACTCTTTCCAAATTAATAGCATCATTCCTCTAGCAAGGTGACCAAAACTGAACACACTACTCCACGTGTGACCTCACCAACCTCCTGTACAACTGCAACATAACTTCTATACTCAACACCCTGACTGACGAAGGCCAGTGTGCCAAAAGTTGTCTTCACTGCCCTATCTATCTCTGTCTCCACTTTCAGAGAACCATGCACCTGAACTCCAAGGGCCCTCTGTTCCACCACACTCCTTCAGGCCCTACCATTCGCCATGAAACTCCTACCTTGATTTGACTTTCCAAAATGCAACACCTCACGCTTATCTATATTAAACTCCATTTGCCATTTCTCGGCCCACTTTCCCAGCTGATCAAGATCCTGCTGCAATTTCTGATAACCTTCCTCACTATCCACGATACCACATATTTTAGTGTCATCCACAAACTTACTAACCATGCCTTGCACATTCTCATCCAAATCATCGATATAGATAACAAACGGCATACCACAGGCCTCCAGTCCAACAAGCATCCTTCCGCTATTGCCCTCTGCTTCCTACCATTAAGCCAATTGTGTATTCAATTTGCCAGCTCTCCCTGGATTCCATGCGATCTAACCTTCCAGAGCAGCCTACCATGTGGAACCTTATCAAAGACCTTACTGAAATCCATATAGACTACAGCTACCACCCAGCCCTCATCAACCTTCCGGGTCACTTCAAAGAACTCTAACAGATTTGTGAGGCATGATCTCCCACACACGAATCCATGGTGACTACACCAAATCAAACCGTGTCTTTACAAATGCATGTATCTCTTATCCCTCAGAATCTTCTCAAGTAACTTAGCTACCACAGATGTTAAGCTTACTGGTCTATAATTCTCAGGATTTTCTTTGCAGCCCTTCTTGAATAAGGGCAAAATGTTTGCTACCCTCCAGTCTTCTGGGACCTCACCCATGGCTAACGATGATGCAAATATATCAGCCAGGGCCCCACAATTTCTTCTCCAGCCTCTTGCAGAGCTCTTGAATATATCTGGTCAGGACCAGGAGATTTATCCACCTTTATATGTTCTAATACTTCCAACACCATCTCCACTGTGATGTGGACTGTCCCCAAGATATCACCACTACATTCCCATGTCTTCATGTCTTTCTCCACGGTAAACACAGAGGAGAAATATTCATTTGAAGACCTTGCCCATGTCCTACGGTTCCACACATACATGTCAACTTTGCTCCTTGAGGGGTTCTATTACCTCTCTAGTTATTCTTTTTCCTTTAATACATTTAAAGAATCTCTTTGGATTCACCCTAATCTTCTCAGCCAAAACTATATCTTATGCCCCCTTTTCACCCTCCTGATTTCCTCCTTCAGTAAATTTATGTATCCCCTATATACCTCCAGGGATTCCCTTGATTCCAGCTGCCTGTACCTGAACCATGCCTCCTTTTTTCTGGTCAAAGTTCCAATATCTCTTGTCACTCAGGGTTGCCTACTCCTGTGAACCTTGCCCTTCACCCTCACAGGAACATACAGACCTTGAACTCTAGCTATCACACTTTTAAAGGTCTCCCACTTGCTGGAGGTCTCTTAGCCTGCAAACAAACTATTCCAATCAACCCCTGCAAGCTCCTGTCTAATTCTAACAGAATTTGCCTTGTCCCAATTTAGAACTTGAACTTGTGGACCAGTTTTGACCCGCTCCATAACTGTTTTAAAATTAAAAGAACTATGGTCACTGGTCCCAAAGTGCTCACCCACTGTCACCTCAGTCATCTGTCCTGCCCTATTTCCTAAGAGTAAGTCAAGTTTTGCTGCTTCCCGAGTAGGACCCTCTATATACTGCTTAAGGAAACTTTCCTGAATGCATTTAACAAATTCCACCCCATCTAAGCCCTTAACAGACTGGGACTGCCATTGTGTTAGGAAAATTAAAATTCCCCTGTATGACAACGCTATTGCTCCTGCAAGTCTCCCTGCATATTTGTTCCTCTAATTCCTGTTGACTATTTGGGGGGGGTGCGCGCTATGGTACAATCCCAATAATGTTACCATCCCCTTCTTATTTCTTAGCCCTACCCACAAAGCCTCACTGGATGATCCCTCAGTTATTTCATCTCTGACGACGGCTGTGATACTGCCCTTAATCAAAAATGCAACTCCCCCTCCCTTCTTTCCTCCACCTCTGTCCCACCTAAAGCACCTGTACTCTGGCACCTGTCTCTCTCTTAGCCATGTTTCTGTAATGGCTATAATATCCCAGCCCCACATATATATCCACGCCCTGAGTTCATTGGCCTTACCTGTCAGCCCTCTTGCATTGAAATAGATGTAATTTAATTCAACTGGCATTCCTCGCTCCCTGTTCTATTCCCACCTGACTGGTCTTTTCAACTTGCTATTTCTGATTACTGTATCTCCTTCTAGCCTCTCACTTACCTCCCTGCCCCCGACCCACCCTGCCAATCCAGCTTAAACCCTCCCTTGTAGCACTAGCAAATCTGCCAGCCAGGATATTGGTCCCCCTCCGGGTCAGGTCCAACGAATGCCTCTTAAACAGATCACCTCTGCCTCAGAAAAGATCCCAATGATCCAGAAATCTGAATCCTTGCCCGTTCCCCCCAACCTCACCCCAATTCTTTAGCCTTGCATTCATCTGCCATATCCTCCCGTTCTTAACCTCACTAGCACTGGAAGTAATTTGGAGATTACCAGATTAACTATAAGCAATTAAAACACCTAACTTGCTGAAATTGAAATAAGTAATGGCATAGTCTTGGCACTTTAAACACTCCAAATTCCGCCCTCTGTTGTCGTCTTCATTGTTTTATCAGAAATGTTTATTGCCTCATTGTTTATTGATCCGCTTCTATGCACCTACTGGTGTTAGCATTATTCTTGCCATTCTTCCTACCAGTACCTTTCTCTGGCGAAACATTTAGACTCAAAGTGGAACATTACAAACAGGGCATTTTGTAAAATAATCAGCTTTAGAAAGATTGAGTTTTATTAAGTTTTGTTTTCAACTGAAGAAACAGCACTATGTTAACATACCCAAAAATTGTCTGAAAAATAAATTTGTGATCTTGACAATAAACCTAATAGACTCTAAGAATAACAGCATGTAAGATTTAAGACAACACCTCTATTCTGGTACAATCAAAAACTTGTGGGTCTGATTTAGAAAGGTAGGCCAGGACCTTCAACCTAAAACCAGACTCCTTATTTTGACCAATGTTACTCCCAGATGCAATACTGGGAGAGTTGCTGGAGATTTTTGTTTCATTTTGATAATTCTTCAGTCCAAATTGAAATTCAAATACTTGTATATACTACACAATCACTCCACGCCTAGCCCTGACTCCATACAGAAATTGTTCTGTATCCTATTGAGTGTCTTCATCTCTATTCCAGAGGTGACTTTTTTACATCTTTAAAACTTTCTTCCATCCTAATAGTTTCCCGGAGTTGGGAGAGCCTTTGTTGTTGAGAAGTAAGGAAAGTTGGAAGTGAAATTTTTTCTGGGTCGTTACTTGGAAAGTTCAGAGCAATGTACATTTTGTTGATTGCTGTTCGAACCTTCAGCTGGCTGGCCTGAAGGAGAAGCTCATCCTCCGTTATTAAACTCTTTGTAAGGGTTGGCTTTGATGTTCTTCTGAACTGAATGAAAGAAAGCAAACGGGAAGATACAGTTTCAGAGATAGTAGGAACTGCAGATGCTGGAGAATCTGAGATAACAAGGTGCC